CCCCCCCCCCGGCCTTGCTGGGCATTCCCTGCAGGCGGGGGGACAGGGGGACGCCAGCTCCCCCATGGGCTCTGTCTGGGTGGAGGCCTCAGACAAGCCCCGGGTAGCCGGTGCCCCCTGCGTAGGGGCCCTAGCAGCACTCCGCATTGACACCATTGTATGAGTTGCTGTTTGTTTATATTTTTGTGCAGTGCCTTCGCCCTTCTTTTCTTTGTATCTGGTGTGTGGAAATCTCTATTCCCAAGTGAAATTCAGTTTCCTTTTTAGTCAAATTGCCAGTCTTTTAAAAGCCCTGTTCTGGAAATATTTTCAGAATGGCATTCTTTTCTTGCTGGGCAGTTACTTTCACTGGAGAATACTAATTGTCTAAGGCTAAAAATCAAAATCAAATGTTTAAAACAGTGGCTACAAACCTGACTCAGATTTCTTCTCTACCTACTTCCAGTTTGTTTTTAAAATAATTTAAGCCAAGCTCTGCTCCTGAAACTTTCATTCACAACAAAGATTGAGCTATAGAGAAACTTGCATTGTTTTTTTTTTGTCTGGCTCCAACATTTTCCATTTCCTATCCATTCACATTTTATTACAAGTCAGTCTCGGCTACAGTGTTTGGATTTACTACTTAGTGTGCATTTGGCTACCACTTGCAAGTCAGGGATGATTTTAGCTATATATGTACAAAAGAAATTGGAGATCAAAATTTGTGTTTCATCTTATTACTGTAACATCTTTGGGAATCTTCTAGATAAAGAAAGTAGTCAAAGTCTTGAGAGAGAGAGATTCTCAGATCTCCATGTGTGTACATTTATCCCTTCCAGCGGTTAGTTCTGAAAAAGATCTGCAAAAGTCCCTGAAACCGAGGCAAAGTCTATACTTCAGAGTTTTCACTGACAGAGCTATGTCTGTTAGGCCCCCTCTACACGTTACAGGTATGAGTACAGGGACTCTCAACCCCAACAGCTGTGGACTCTGGGTCCTGGCAGCATGTTTCCTGGTAAATGCCCAGGACAGGAGGATGCATGAATCACAGCAGTGATCCCTCCTGCACCAGGGGTTTCACACATCTCTGGAGCAGGGGGTGGGGTGGATCATGATCCTCGTGTGAGGTGCCCCGTGACTGGAAGCCTCTCAACTGGGGTGTGTGGGGCTCCTGGCTGTGGGAGCTTTCTTTGTGCTGGTGCAGGGAGAGCCTGGGATCAGCAATAAGGTGTAGCAAGATCTAATGTGTGGTCCCAGAATCATGCCTCCTACTGTGTGTGTGGCATGGCAAGAGGTGCAATTGTGTGAATTGTGCACTAGATTCCATCATGTCTTTACCTGTATGTGCAGAGGGGACCTTTGGAGTCTCAAGAAACCTTACATTTGTAACTCACATAGCTAGTTGGGCAAAGTGCATAATGTAGATGCAGCTGTGTACAGAAGAACGCTTACGGTTGCTTAGATTATTAATTTGGGGTGGAGGGGAGTATTAGCTACGCTGCATATTAGCATGTGTTGCATATCCACTAGGGAGATCTGCTGGCTTAACTGTATTGGCAGAGGCTTATCTAGTGTAGAGCAACCCTGATGCAGTCTTTGCAGTGTTTTCCTAAATGAATTACATTTTTTTTAGCTTATTACTAACTCTAATTCCATATAGTGCTTTTGCATTTAGTCTTTGGCTAGTTACCTGATCTCTAGATTTTGTACCAGCTGTGATCTACAATGTGATTATTCTTTAGGGCTTGTCAATGCAGGGCTTCTCTCCAATGTCCAGCAAGTGCAGGAGCTGTAGATGAGTGGCAGGGAGTGCCAGTGATACAGATGGCCCGGTAGAGGCTACATCCCTTGCTGTGATGTGCAGCACTGGCTGGAGCTGTGCCCTGCCAGGCACCTGCGCCCTGAGTGCCCTGCCTGCTGCTTCTGTGCCATGGGGCAGAGTGTGGGGGTCCCCGCACCCCCCCCAACTTCCGTCACACCCCACACACCCTGCCCCCACAACTCCCCCAACATACCCTGTGCCCCTTGTACACGCACACATACCCACACCCCACCATACACACACGTGTGTGTGCATGTGCACATACCCACCCACACCTCACCATAGACACACACCCACACCCCACCATACAATCCCCAGAATATATAAGACTAGAATTTATTTTTGAGTTACTTTGCAATCACCTATATACACTATACAAATACAAATCATGACAACATTTTTGCAATAAAATTTAATATATGGTATAGGAGGTGTTTGACTTTTAGTGTATGATTTGTTTTTTTTTTCTGGTTCTAAGATGGGAAACAGCCCCACCCCCTCCGGGAGCAAAGGGAGGGACTTCTGGTGGCAAAGGCCAGGGGTTAGGAGTGGGACTTCCAGTCCCAAGATGGCAACAAGGGGGCAGGGCTTTTCCTGTGGCCCTCAACAACTCACCAAAACTCATTAAGCAGCGCTCCACCTGAAATAATTTTCTGTAGCTGCTATATACTTATCTTAGTAAATTTTCTCTTTTAGGCCATTCACGTTTGTTACCTAGAAGAAAAATGGTCTCGTGATCATAGCACAAGTCTTGGAGTCAGGAGACAACTTTGATCTCCCAGGTTTCATTACAGGCTAACTTTGGGAGCTTGGGTGAATTACCTGGGGCAAAATTTTCAAGACTGAATACTGCGAATATACCTCACATTTTGAGTGTCCAACCTGAGTCACTTTGGTCCTACCTTCAGGGGTGTTAAGCAAGGTCTTTATATGAAGTTATGAAATAACCCTTCTGAAAAAGGATATTTAGTAATTAAGGAAATAAAAATTTGTTGTAATTTCTGAAAATTTTAGTTTTAACTTATTGTCCCTTTTACAAAAACTAATTTGGTACTTCACAAGCTGAATGTAATGTTAATTACTTATTTATCAAGCTTTTGTAGTTATACAAATGCAAAATATCTTTCTTCTGTAGGTGAAAAGGGCACAGGAAAATCAACACAGAAGCCATTGCATTACAAAAGCTGTCTATTTCATAGGGTTGTGAAAGACTTTATGATTCAAGGAGGTGACTTCAGTGAAGGTAGGAGGCCAGTCTCTAAATCAACTACAGTGGCTAACAGTGAAATATTTTATGGATCTTGTTCAGTACTCTTTATTTGGTTGAAATATTGTCTCATTGCAATGTATATATATTTTTTAAGTTAAGGGCCTTAAATAAGGGCATTTTAATAAGTAGCTTTCTGTATCTCTTTATCCAGTTGTGATTTGCCAGTGAAAATGTGGCTTTCCATTCTAGTATAGCATCAGATCACTGTATTTCTCAGTAAAGCACAGATGTCAAACTCTTAGTATAGCCCTGTGGGCCAGAGCACTGGATAGGTCTGTGGGCCAGATCCAGAGTGTGGAGCCATGTCATCTGGCCCACAGGATTTTTTGCATGGCTGGAAATTGGGTGGTGCCAGTGTTAATTGCTGCATCATCTTCTGCTGTTCCTACTGTCAACTTTCCAGACTTGCAGGTCAGATGACACAGTTCCCAATGTGCCCCATAGGGCCAGGAATTTGACTGTCTCTATTAATCCTGCTGCCAAATTTGTGGTCTTGTGAGGAGCCCTGCAGACCAGGTGACACTGATGCACACTCCAGATCCAACCTCTGGGCTATATCTACCTCTGAGATGGAGGAATGGGAGAGAATGCAGAATGCATAGCAAAACAGTTCCCCTTGGTTTTCTGACTCCTATTCTACTTAATCAGGCCATCAGCTAGTGCTTTGATTGTACCCAAGCCATGCACTACCTTTTTTCAAAGTGTCTTCCAGAATAATAATTGAAATATTGAAATATGTTGACCTCAACCTAACTTATTCTGTCACTGCTTTATGTTAACTTGTCCTTTTTTGTTGTTGTTAGGAAATGGCAGGGGAGGAGAATCAATTTATGGTGGATTTTTTGAAGGTAAGGATGTTCTTTATCAGTCAAGTCTATGTACTTTTTCAGGTGTCTTTTATTATAGAAATTAAAATAGCATTCCACGATCCTAGCTTTGCAAATTTGGATTCCATTGTCTTTACTAGTGCTGTGCAGGAAATGGGCATCTTTTTAGCTACTGTAATTGTAGGATTAAGGCAAAATGATTTTTTGTTAAACCTTTTTCATTAAGATTTATAAGAAGCAAAATCTTCCAATTTAATTCTGCATAGAAAAAATTGTTAAATTTGTTTATCAGATTTACATTTTTGTAGATCTCATTTGAACATTGTATTGTTACCCCTTTTTGGCCTGATCATCTAGACAGAAAATTAGAGTCTTTGGGTATTGTTTCATTTAGGAGAAATTAATGGTGGAGACAGGTATCTCTTTATATTCTTGTAAATAAAGAAAATTGCTTAGTCCTGCTTCTCTGGTAACAGGAGGGATCAAACAACTATGTACAATTTCCCTGCTCACAATGCCAAACTTTCAGTTGGTATCACCCCAAATGATCAGTCTCTCTAATCTGTTTCTTGAGTATCCAGACCTGTTTGTTCAGGCTGTGTTGGAGCTTTCTTTTCTCTTTGTTTCTTGAACTATGTGGATGTGTGGCATGAACCAAAGTGGGCTGATGTATAGACATGCTGGCAGTTGTATAGTAGCAGTTGCATTATGCCAATAGAACTTCTGAGCTAAGTACAGATAGTCAAAAAGCCCAAGATTATATTGATTCAGTCTTCGCAGGTTAGTCTAAGCTGCATAGATTGAACCGACAAGCAAGTGAACAGACATTTGTTTTTGATTCAGGAAATGCAGCCACATGCTGGCATGACCCAGGCCAGAAGCTGGGGGATGCTAGAAAATGCCTCCCTGCTTGGCTGGAGGAGACAGCTTGGGCCAAAGCTAGTCTGCCCACCTGGCAAGGGGGGTTGTGGGAGAGATGCAAAGCATCCTGAGATGCTTGAGGTTTGTGAGTTAACTTGAATCTGGAGGGGATCTGAGACAGA